GGGTCATCCATAATTGCGACAATGGGATGCTATCGTACGCCTTTTCAAGGTCAATTAAGGCTATGTGCAATTCCCTGTTTCTTTGTACTCTTTTTTCGCACGCTATTTTAATCGTAAAGATATTGTCCACAGTTGAGCGCCCTGTTCTAAAGCCTGCTTGTTCTTCTGGTTGTTTATCTTCTATAGCTTTCTCAACCAGATCTCGTATTATTTTTGAGTATATTCTACCTATTGTACATATCACTGCAATTCCGCGATAATTTTTAGGGTTGCTCTTGTCTCCTTTCTTGTGTATAGGCGTTATGTAAGAATTTCGCCAATCTGCGGTAATAAAATATTTATAATATAATAAAAGAGACAAATACACCAATTCTGATCTAAAAATTCAGCTGTTACGCTTAGGCTATATCCTAAAATTTTAGCAAAAAAGTAACCACCGACAAGTTATTCAAGGGTCAAATAAGTTGGCATTATATTATTCCTAGTACCCACTTCTCGCTCATAATGTGAAAGTGGTAACGTTTGATGTACCGCCAAGGACGTTATATGTACCAGACTCCGACTGCATCGTCAATGACCTTCACGGAGAGTGCATTATCTCGTAGGTATTGCACGTGAAATGCCCGTCTTGGGCGGGACAACTCAAAATAATTTCTTCCATAAGAAATATATTGTAACTAATCGTGTTGATTTTTTTTAATACACGAAAATTGTTCTGCGCATCGGAATGAACATGTAAGACTAGCAGCTTATTTTTTCTGTTAAAATCGGACCGCAGACACCCACCTACCTATTTTCCAAATATTATCTCAAGCCGTATTCCGTCAATATGCGATTAGTTATTAACCTGATTCAGTGCAACGTGAAAGTGTAAATATTTAAAGTTATATAGCCATAAATCGAAGCATTATTATTTCATGCTTTATGCCACATGCGTAAGTGTTATTACTAGACGCGCGCTTAACTTTCTAATAAAATCAGTTCGCGAAATATTTGTGTAAAATGTCGTTAATTAGTCAAACACAAAATTGGATGGCATTACTGGTAAGTCATTTTTTTAAAGAATTTTTCGAGTGAAATGTAAAGATTTTTCTATTAAAAGGCTGGTTTCTGTGTTACAATGTGGAATTTTGGTTGATAGTTTTTGAGGTATTCGGTATTTATAGGCAATAGGGCTAGGGATATTGTGGGTTAATCGTCGAGAAAAGTTATATCAGAACATAAGTAGTGTAGTTTTTGAGCTGCGAGTTCGCATATTTAGCGAGGATTCTGTCTTTTTGATAGATATTTTTTAAAGTTTTTTTTTCTTTTCTCTATAGAGCTCCTAGAATTTTAATTCGTGCCTGTAAAAAAATATTTATTTCTGGAAAATGGAATCTTGACCTTTGAAAAAAATACATGAGGTCCAATCACACCAAATGTTAATTATAAGTTTGTTTTGGGAATTTGTGGTGGGAAAACACCCCCTGCATAAATTCGGCGTCCGTAGTGATGCGAAGACAAAGAAAACAGTAAGATCGCAAAGTCCACCATACGCAGTAAGGTAACATGGATATGTTTGAATTTCTATTATTGCATAATAAGCAAACGGACTGTGAAAATCCAAATTGGTACAAGCTTGATACCACTTATAGGAATAGTACACGACATAATATAAAACACAAAGCTGCATTTTTAAAGAAATTTTTTTATGTTTTTAACAAAATTTGTTTAATTTTATGTTTGAAAGTTGTAGTTTGTAGGTCAGACCAGGCCACTTTGTAAGCGGTAATTTGCTCGTTCCCCGTTTGCCATTAATTATAGGCTGTTTTGGTTGAACTATTGTAACTAGAAAATATGATTGACGATAATCTTTTATAAAATACTTGTGGAAGCGTTTTCGAATCAATAACAGTTGGAATTTGGTTAACGCAAAGAAGACTTTTGTGGCCACTGTTTGCTGTATTTTAAAAAATTTTATCTATGCACAGAAAACAGAACAGATTACTGAATAGATTGTTGCCAAATATTTAGTTCACGCTGAGAATAATAAATGTTATATGAGAATTCATTACGAATCGAAATCGCCGTATAAATCAAATTATCAGACCCACGGGCAAATGAACTTCACATTACCATTGTCAAGTTCATTGGTACTTTTGGAGGTGAGATTGGCGTATATTTCCGCAGAGTATTTTAGAAGGTACAATGAAATATTTTCACATTGCATGCATACTTACATTTTGTAAATCTAAATTGGTTGATATTGAATTAAAATATATTCAAAATCAATACACTCTTTTACAATTTTACTTTAACTTGAAAAGGTGGAGTTTTTTTGTGTTCGGTTTAGTTTTGAAGTATTAAATCGCTACGATACGGAAAATTATCAATATCGGGTTCGCACTAGAGCTTTGGATATTAAATACACCTAATCAAGCCTAGTTTATCTCAGTAACTGAAAAGAAAAACAATATGGGTCAGGTTGCAGTGGAGAAAGAAGGAAATTTTTCATTCTCCTTAAAAAATTAACAATGTAGATTATGACCATGGAAAAGTATACTGGCTTTTGCAATTTAAAACTTCGACTGAATTTCATTTAATGACGTCCCCAACTGCCGTTAATCGGACAACCTTTTCAAACGAAATTTCGGGTCGTTATCTACATGCCGTATCTCGTTCAACATAAAATCGCCCAATACTCATAAACAATAAAACATAAAAAAGATTTTTCGAGAATATGTAAGGTATTGCTGTTATTGCCAAGGAATTGTAGAGGGTACATTTCTGGTTGTTTACTAATTCTCGACGCAAACGAACAATTATTCAGAGCAAATTCTGCATTTAATCTAGGCGTGGTCAAATTAATGTAGCAAGGTTGACTAACGGTATAAAATAAGAGTATTGTTGTAAAACATACAAAGTTTATACGTACGCTACTTTCCATGTATACGCGTTTTCATTTTGTTCAGAGTTAACAACTACTGAACATACGAAATTGAATAACATGCAGATCCTAACGGTACGTAAAGTTTTTATCGAAGTACTCTCCGACTTTAAAAATAAACATAACGCTTTACCTACTTTGTTTACCACTTCGTATTTATTTAATAAATACATACAGAATTAATGTGTCACAGGTTTATCTTTTCCTTCTTGGACTTCTTTCGGCGGCTGCGCATGAAGGTCTGCCTCTTTTGGCGCCAGGCGGAATCGGAGGGATATTTAAAGGACCAGACTCGGAAACGATTATTCAAGGACCTGACGGAAGTGTGATAACATCCGAGCAAGAAGGCGGAGCCGTAGTCAGAGGTAACGGATTGGAGCAACCTATAGTTGTTGCCGAATCTGTACAAGAGATCGAATCAGATCACGCCATCGAACAAGTCTTGATTCAAGAACAGCCAAAAGTTCAAAGCGAAATTGCTCAAGGTATTCTTCTGAAAACAGTTCCGGCCCCCCAAAACCAATTTCCTGGCCCACAACCCGTCTTAACGGAAATAAAACAATCTCCATTTATCGAAAGCACTGCCACGATTCAGCAGAACCAGCCTATTCTGCTGAAGGAAGCTGCGGAAGCTGCAGGTACTAGTTTTTCTCTTCATTTAGATATAGCATAATTAAATGGTTTTTTCAGAATCGGCCAAGCTACTTGTAGAACCAATCAGACAACCGCTGTCAGTATCCAGAGTACCAGTGCTGACGCATAAATTCTCGGTCTCCAATCTGGAACCCGTGGTGTCATCAACAGCGGCACCTTTGGGTCAATCCACAGCGTTACCATCGTCTACTCCTAGAACATTACTCGAAATATCAAACGCCAATTTGATCGAATCTGATAAAATCAATTTGGGTGGGTTGCAGCTGTTACATAATCGTGTTTGACACTCTAGTGTCGTTTTCAGGGGATGTAAGAAGCTTAAATCGAGGACTTCCTCAGCTACAACATCGGTCATCTAATGGGTTCGTTGGTAACCCAGAACTTATTTTAAATGAAAATTTAGTATCCTTTTCGGATGCCCAACTTGTGTCATCTAACGCGGCAGACTTAACTAAAGGTGAGTAAAAAAAATGTCAACCCATCGCCAGAAGTTTAGCAAGGGTTTAATTTTTATTGAAGCTAAAGAGCAGATACAGCGAGTTCCACTGGAGAAATTTATATTAGCGGACGAAACATTGGACATTGAAAACATCGCCGGTGGACAAATTTTAAATCAAGGTAGAACATCCTTTTAATTATAAATTTGGGTATTTTTGGCATTCGAATTCCAGCCAAATTAGTGAATTCGCAACCAATCCCATTGGGCCAGTATATACTGCAAGACCAAAAATCGGTTATTCCACAAGCTGATAATGAAGGAACCTTAAACCAAGGTACAACCTACTTTATACTCTAGCAATAAAATACTATAGCCTAATGTAAATTGTAATGTATTGAAGCCAAAGCAGGGCAGGGTCCACAAATCCCACTAAATCAATACATCCTAATCCAGGATAGACTGGCCAATCCGAAAGTTACTAGGGAGCAAATTTTAAGGCCGGGGAATGAACTAGGACAAGGTAAGACCTGGCGAATTAAAATGAATTTCTTATTAAATTTTGTATTGGGTGAATGAAAATCGCCAACTTATGTTATTTCATACGCCTTTTCTTTGCATTATATGTCTAGATAATAGCCATAATGACTTTCAGATGATTTGACACTGTTCATACACTCGCCAGTATTCCACACCAGACACTTACTTTCCCCTGACTTTAGAGATTCTACCAATGATTTCGGAAATTCGGCATCTTCGAGCAATCTTTATCCTCAAATTGCCCTTTCTAGAGAATCTCCACACATACAAAAGGTTCCCAAGAAAGCAAATTTTGTTTCCGTTGATGGTAGAATAGGTAAGACATTCCGTGCTATCATGTCCAAACTGTCGTCTCATGTAATTTATAATTACTCATATTATTATTATTTAATATCGTGGTTGAAATTCAGTACTGCATTTTTAGTAATGCTTTCTAGTATTTACTCTTACTTTTAAATTTTTATCAATATTTCACTCCGGCTGCACACTAAATAATCAAACTCATTTCTTTGTTTAAGTTTTTAACTTGCATTGGAACGAGGCAATTTTCTAAACAACTGAATTTTAAACTTGAACTTTATGCAAGATAATTGTATAACACATATTTATGTTTTACGTAAATAGTCTGTCTTTATACATACTCTTATGGTTACTATTAAAAGTGATATTAATTAATACAATGTATCTGTAACAGATATGGGACGACCCGATTTTATTGAATCTCAGTACGTGCCTGAAAATCTTCGCGTAGAACTGTCTAGGTTTCTTAGAAAGGTTCCGATGAGTAGTAAACACATAAAAATAGACGACAAATTAGGTGAGGAGAAGTTTCTTTCTACACACTCACTGCCGTTTTCCTTCCGCTCTTCTCTGCTTTTTTTTCTTCATCAAATCGTTCTATTCAACTCATTTCTTGGCATTCTTAAATGGAACGTGTCTGATTTTTGAAATTTAATTTAGGAAATCTCGTGGAAAACGAGGTGGCGTTAAAGAACCGGCCTAATATTTATTCGACAGCTAGTGATTTAGGCAAAGGAAGCCTAATAGTTCCACAACTGGAAAGGAACGGAATCGACCCGTCAAAAGTGAATTTTGCACCAGTTTCACTGTCAGAGGTGAAAGAAATACGTGGTCCTTTATTTACGCCGGAACAAAAAATCGAATACGACCTTTGGAATAGGTACGCCAGGAACGCGGAAGAAATCAACAAGAAGGGATAACGACACCAATTATTGTTCGCTTTTATTTATGATGTACATAGATAATAATTATATTTTTTGAAGCTGCTCAAATACAAGCAACTCAAGAGGGTATTATTTTACTTATTTTACTACCTACTTCGACGAGTGGGTTCACAACATAATCAAAAGTTTACCGATAAGAAACATCCCTTTAATGTCTAACCTGACTTTGCACCCCATACCTTAAAATATGTAATTTAATTTTATTTATTAAATAAATTTAAATACGACTTTAGAAATATTTTTAGGCTACACTCCGTCGAATTTTAATATGAATAAATAATTAGCCTTTACATGTTCTACTACCATTACTCATTCTAATCACTAAATCCTCGTCGGTATTCTTTAGTAGTGACTCCAAGACAAAGTATTTCGACGACAAAATTGAGCCTTGAACACTTTCCAATATTAGGCGGGGAATACACTCAAGTAACACATAAAAAAGTAGATCACAGTTTGGTAACAGTTTTCTTACTTTTCCTTTTCCTAATTCCTAATGTAGTTTAAACTTGTGACTTACCCTGTATTTTATAAATTTATGCTTAGCTATTTAAATTTAATAATTCTTAATTACGTAATTGTATATTTAATTTCAGATGATCGTATCGACCGAGTGCGAAGGTCTACACAAAGATCGCGAAAACGTAAACAAAGCTATCATACTCTAAACAACGAAGAATCAAATTCGGGACAAGTTCCGTCGAATGGTAAAAGCAACTATTGCTTCGTACTGGACAAAACATGTTTAACTTTCAGATAATGGGGGGTATTCGGCGGATCCTCTATCAAATGACATTCAACAACCTACCAACCATATTTATTATCCGCAATTGGGCGATCAATACCCAGCCGCGAATCCGAATCAAAATATACGCCAAGAGTATCATCAACAAAATGCGCATCCTTACGTAGATGATCAACAAAATTCGGATTTATACTACGAGCAAGTACGTACTAGCAATGCACAAGTGGGCGAGCAAAGACAGCTTCAAGGAGAAACATACCCGCAATCGGACAATTTGCAGTATGGATCCCGCATTCAGAGTTCTAAAAAACCAAATATAGTTCTTAACCCTAAGGCTAACAGTAACTACCAATATCGTAAAAATGCGCGAGTAGACGACGCGAGTCAATTTCCAGAACAATTTTATCGACAACATGGGATAGTTCAAAGTTACAATCAACACAGCGATGTTGCGAAGCAAGATGCACAAAATGAGAATTATATTTCTAACTACGATCCGCGATACTCGGGGAATGCCCAACTCGAACACCAAGGAATACCCCAAACTCAATTATATTTAACATCAGCCGATCCTCAAGGTAAAGTTATTACTAAAGAGCAAGCAGTGATCAACGTACAAGTCGAAAGCGACTCGGCAGCAGTAGAACACCCAGATCAAAGAACGGGTCGGGAAAATTTAGTTAACTATCGAATAAAAACGCTTTCGCTACAACCAGCATCGCAACTGCCCGAAATTTCAGAACATATCCCACAAGACAGGGACAGATTGCATCTGTCGATACCCGAGGAAGCTCTGCACGATTATTATCAACAGAAAGAGAAATATTCAGATCAACAACCAGAGACAGATTATTACCCTGATACTAACCAAAACTATGGGCAACCCATTGATATACGAGGTACGCTATTCCAGAAGTTACGATCGCATGTAACAAATCCTGCATACTTAGAAGCTTTGCCACGAACGACGGCAAACAATACTCCGGTGGTACTAGGACTTGACAATACAACTTTTGATGGTAACAATAAAAATTAAGTAATTTTCATTTCTATGATTATTGGGGTTACATTATTGAAAATTTTCAATACAGTACTTGTACTTTCGGTACTAAACGTGTTGAAGAGGTAATTTATATGGACTTGTATTATCAGACAAAGGCCTCGATCTGAATGAGTGAAAGGGAAGAATAAAATTTTCTATAGAAATTGTTATTACGTACCAACCAACTGTTGGTTGTTGGCCTTCCTAGGACATATGGCAAACTGTTCCAACACACGTCAGCAATTGTTAGATTATTTATTATTAAACAGCAATTACATCCATAATACATACATGCAACCGATAGAATTTTATTGGCCACTTGCAAAATAATTATCTTAATTACCGGGTATGGAACGTTAACATATATACCATTCCTTTCGAATCAGGTTTTTTTGGATTAAAATATTTCGAGAAAAAATATGTCTTAAGAGGCCATTTCAAGATGCGAGAAGTATTAAATTGTGGAGTGTATTTATAATTATTGTATTGTTTTTTTTTCTGGAGTACAAGACAGGTATTTCTTCGTTTGGGATACAGTGTAGTTCTACAAAATGTAAAACGAATGCATGGTAGGGTAAATTGTTAAATAGTTACAGGAAACGTGGATTACCAGGACTCTCCATACTCAGGCAGAAACCCTACTCTGAACCACTTCCAACCTCAAACTGATGACTATTCCGCATCTGGCTACCGTCAACCAGTTTTATTGGGGCCGGGAGATCATTTATTGCCGGGTAATTCAATACTAACATAATATGAAATGTCCGAAATAATTCAATGTTGATACAAAAACCTAGCAAACACAACAAATGCCTTACACTAACCAATACTAACACGCTGCATGTTTTATCAACTGTTTTGTCTGGGCCCATTTGTATGTTGAGCGGTTTTTGAGGAGGTGATGGTTTTGTAAATAGACATGGCATTTCTCTTGTTTTGCATGCTGTAGAAACGTATGGGCAAATGAAGAAGAACTTCATTGCAGACTTTTTAAACAGCATTTTTAAATTTTTTTCTACTCAAAATATTGAAGTTTACAGTACCGTTTGTTTTTTAGTAAATCTTAGCATTGCTGTCAATCCCTCTGCAGTTCCTATCCGAAATCTTTGGTACATCCCGGGGATCAATATAAGTATAACGACAACTTTTGCACCATCAGTTTCCCCTCCGACAACTATCGCTACAGACTTAGTTTCCCCAACTTCGTCACCTTTCAACATATCTTCCGACTACTACATAGCCAACAATGCAAGATCAGGTAATGTTTTTGATGGTAAAATCAAATCAGTTGCAATCAGAATCAAAAAGTTTCGCCACTTAAAAGCAGCATGCAAACCAAAATCGATTTTTCTTTTGATTTGACTTTTTTTATGTATTCTGTATTTATTTTTATTTTTATTTAATGTTAGGCGGTTTTTTTTAAGTACTAACTTAAGATAATTTTTAAAATAAAATTAACACAAAACATTGTACAGTTCCAACTCAAACAAAACAAAACACACATCAGAACTTAAGTAGATTCTACAGTCAACACTAAGTTCCATTGGGAAACGACACACCATGAAGACCAACTAGTGCCCTCTCTAGGTAAGAAACTGATACCTACACAACTCCATTACATTCTACATGCATACGTTTTACAAATATATACCATTTCTATCCATGTATATTGTAAAATCGGTAAGGTGGAATTTCAACTTAATTTTTCTTTTTTACAATTTATATTATATCATTGTTTCTAGGTGTTAATTTCACTTCGTATATTTGTTCTGGTTTAGGAAATTTGGCAGGAAACTCGATTGTGTCTAAAAAGCTATTCGCATTTTCAACTGGGCAAGTCTTGCTGCGAAACCTTACGGATATTGGGGGAGCAATCATTGGCAACCTAACATATCCACCGCCGACTCGCTCTCCTATTTTGAAAACTACCAGATCGCCATTCCGGACGACTACTCAGCGAAGTGGTTTGCTATTTTCTGTTATCCGATCAATAGCACAAATGATTGGTTAAACTTTAGTTAAAATTAGGTGTAAATTTATTGGTGGAAGCCAAATGGTGGGTTGTAAATAATGAGTTCTCGGATACGAGAACCAATGAGATTTAATTTATTGTTTTTGTTCATTAAAACACACACCTTATTGTTATTTTTCCACAGTAGTTGTCGGGTTATCAAGATGATAACGCATTTGTTGGTTGAGGTGGCATAATTCCGGTATCCTTTCGTTCAAATTGTATTCTTCCTTTTTTTTTTCAAAATCTGTCAAATTCTATCCGAAATAAAGCTGACTGAAACAATTAGCATTTCTTATTTCCGTCGATGCAGAAGGAGAATTAAAATTGAATTATTTTTTTAATTACAACAAATGAGTGCCGAACGAACGCAGTGCTATTCATTAGTACATTCTGCTTCCATTCAGTTTTGTGTGAATTGACTTTGTTAAAGAGACACTAGGTGTTTGGTGTTTCTACGGTTTGGTTTTTAATAAAATTCTATTGCGCTTTTCTTTCGTACGCAATATTATTAGATAATTAATAATCATTGATTTGCCCCCCTGCACCTCGGATACTCTATCTTCATTATACTTTGTGCGTTTCGAACGACAGGAAAATAAGGCCATGGTAACGAAAGCGAGTAAAAGAAAAGCCAAAGACAAAGAAATCTCTGGATTAAGAAGTGTATAGTTCTATTTCCTTTTTGGAAATCTCATCCGTAGTTTCCAAAATTGGAAAGTATGATATCGTCAGAACTGCTAACAAACCCGAAGAAAATTTCCTTTTAGAACTCCTTATTCGTTGTGGCAGCAACTTACCTCGGAGACAGCAAATTTGTCAGACCAGCCTTTATCAGGAGGAACTTGGAAAAGGAGATAATCGAAATTATGCTCTCCTCTATTAGCAACGACACACTCAAGAAATACAATAGCACCTACCCAAAAAACTTAAGTAAACTTCTCCACCCAGATATAAACAGTGTCCTGCTATTTTCTTAACCCCTAACTCCCACAGGTCAGCTTTGAATCTTCATTTTTCTGAATTCACTCACTTCCAATAGCATTCCAGAATCCCAAACTAGTATTAACATTTATAAGTAGTCTTCACCCCTTAGACAGAGATTACAGCTATAAGTCCGTAAGACAAAGCTCTCAAGAAAGGACTTAGCAAGGCAGATATCGACATTAAGAATGACAAGCAATTCCCGGCGCATCCGCTCGTAACAAAATATTTTGTGTATAAAATTGCTCTATCCGTCCTTTCGTTTCATATTCACATGAAATAGCGAATATCTAATCTAATATCTAATTTTTTGCATTTTTTGAATTCAGTGGTGCAGTGAAATTAAAAAGAACTGACTGTACTATTGCTTTTTTTATTTACATTAAATATGGGTCATGTACTATGTATAAGAGGTCAATTTGAAATGAAAACCGCATGCAGTTGCTTTTTTTAATGCCGATAATAAAGAGTTTATACATATAAGCAAGTATTAATTTTTGCAGCACATTTGCAAATCTACGGTATCTACCCGAAATGTCTGACGAAGGATATTTATTCGGGTCTCAGGTGACGTAGTTCGCCATAACTTGCGATTTATGTCTTCGAACACATTGCGGATTATTTCGCGGGACTCTTATTTTACTTTTTAATAAAGAAAGACGACTTTGGTTTACTTTCTTTTTTTATGGTTTCCTTTCGGGGCAAAAAAGTGTGATTCAATAACTAATCTCCTGTTTCAGCTCTGAAATAGTGTTTGGTTTATTTCTATATGATCGACCATTTTCACAATAGGCTCGCACACGTTGTTCAGTCGTATATTGCTCCATGACTAATTTTGTTTATGTGTTGAGGTTAGAAATCTCATATGATAATAAACAAATACAGTGGCGTTTCAAAAATAATTCAGATGGTAATGTGGAAACTCTTATCGAATCACCCGTTATATTAAATAAACACATCGTTATAATGAAGTAATTTGTTTTTTTGGAAAATTGTTTGGTGTGCCTCTGGATGATTGATAGATTGGTCTTTTATTCGGTATGCTCTGTGACAACCATCTGCATCTGTATGTTTTAACTCATCCCTTGCTGGTAAGCAAGGGCGCAGTAGTAGCTTTACTATTATTTTATGCTTACTCTTGTGCCATCGCAATGGTCTCGTTCACTACGTTGTGTTTATAAGAAAAAACTTTCTAAGTGAGAAATCACAATGAATTGATTTTTGGCCACTAACAATTAACATTTACCTAATTGAAATGGTTCGGATAAACTCGTATGGTGCGTTATACGATTTTCGGAAATTGTAACCTATTCACTCGTTTTTCCAACTAATTTTTATTGATCTTTATATTTACTGTCTCTTTTAAGTTACGTGTTTAAATAATAAAATATTTGCTCACGATAAAACGAAATAGTCTCATGTTATCTCTAACATTAAATAAGCTCGATGAAAATCATCCCTGCGAACTGTGCATATGGGGGAACGTGGAAGTAAAGCGGAAAGACAAGTGATCATCCAGGCGCCCCGGCCTATCCGGATAAATAGCTGAGGCTCATGTGCACAGGAATAGTCGAATTATACACGAAAGAGTTGCTTTATTAAGCTTTGAAGAGTTCCTAGGGTGGGAAATGCGCATTTTCCGAGCATTTTCTTGCCTGGTTCGCGTTTGGTTAAGGTTTCAGGATTTGAATGTGAATGTTTTTATTGAAATTATAGGTTGAAATCACGTGTTAGGTTAAAATTACCAGCTACGTTATTTTAGAAGAGATCTACGCAGAGGGCATCCCAGGGAAATTTGTCAATTTGTTGTGGGAAAATTATAAATAGCAAACATTTGAAAACTTGGAATTATACTAACGATGGTAGGGGCAACGCGGCAAAAGTATTTTTCTGATCGCCGCTGTTAGCATCAAGATTGTAAAGACACTGTGTTACAATAAGCATCAAGTCCACAGAATCACCACGTGCCTTGAACCGTACGGACTCGTTTCCCAAAACCCGAGTAAATAACTTATATATTAATAGTCTAAATCGAACATCAGAAGTGGGATTGACCCCATATTTTGATTAACCGCTTGTTGAGTATCATTATTGTTTCAAATTAAAAAAAATGTCGAGGCGGTAGACATTATTTCTGGATTTTTTGGATAATGTGCTGTATCGCGTTAATATTTCTTTCAACTGTGTTCGCTGCAGATTCGGTTACTCTACCTTAAGCGATTATCTCCAGCAATGGGTGGAGAGGAGAGTGGGTGATAGTTGGAATCGTATTGGTCGTGATTCTTGGGATATGTTGGTTGAATAAATTCCGAAATCAATATGGTGAAGTGTTAAAGATTCCACTTTACGAACACAAATAAGTCAAGCGGGACACATTGTTTTGGAAACTTTTTTGACACTCTCTGACTGTGTAAAGTTTTAGATTGGAATCATGTGATGTCTTCTGGTTAAATAATGTTTTATCTGTGGTAATTTGCTTAGAAAAAAAAATCATTTTGTTGCCTTCAATGTTTTTGGTAATTTTAATTTTATTTATTTAATCGTGTCTGATTACAACTTGTGACTAAAAATTATTAGATATTGTTCATATATCACTCCAGTGTCTGGCGCATTTCACAGTATTTTCATTCCACGTCCAAAGGTCCCGGATGGTACATGGGGCTCCTTTGTCTCGGATTCTCCACATTCACACGTTTCCTCTTCCACGTACCCCCATTTCAGGAGGTTGTTCTTGGATCTCCCCATTTGGCGCCGGAGTCGGTTGAGGGTTTTCCAGGTACCCGAGTCTAAGTCAGAGCCTGCAGGGAGTTTTTCTTTTATATTCCAGGTTGGGATGTTGTTGATTGAGGCGCTGTTCTCATTTTGTCTCCTTGGTAGCAGTTTTAGAGGCCGTGAGGGGCTGTGTAGATTGCATAAAGCCTCGCCTTGATTTCAGTCTGGCCGCTGACGGAATATATTGGTACATAGGATGCCTGGCGTCTTCACATTGTCTGCTTCGTTCGGCCATGGCTAGGGTTTCCCTACGTATTTGCGGTGGTGCAATTCCGGCTAGCATGTAAAGCTGATCAAGGTCAGTGGGTTTTAGGCATCCGGTTACTAACCTATACCGGTCATACAGGACAGGGTCCAGTCTATGAGCATGTGATGATCTCTCCCATACGGGGGATGCATATTCGGCTGCGGAGTAGCACAGTGCGAGCATTAGTCAGACTTTGGCCTTGGTTTTATCGCTATGCTTTCTGAACGTTAGGGAGCGGTCTAATGTAACACCTAGATAGACTGGGTTTGGGCAGTGTTGCAGTCTGACTGATTTCCATTCTATTTGTAGTTCCCTTCTCGCCTGTCGGTTATTGAGGTGGAATAGGCATGTCTGCGTTTTCGCTGGATTTGGGCGGAGCTGATTTGATCTGTAATAATCATTCACTCTCGATAGGGATTCTGTTATCTGCTCCTCTATCTCTGCGATGTAATTTTAATTAAAAGTTTTCATAAAGTGTAACTTATAGCGGTATGAAGCCTTGTTTGTTTGTTTTCTTTAGAACACTTCCAATTTAGAGATAATCTATAATCTTTCTTTACCATAAACCGAGATTTCACTGTTTCTGTTATATTTAACATTTTACTTAAAAAAATGCCTGTAAATTTTTTCCATAAGGAATTTTTAAAAATTCCACTCCATTAAGTTACCCTGTAAAAAATTGTTTGTTGAATAAATTTGGTTAGTAATTTCGATTATTAATATTGAAAGATGTTGTTTTCATCGTTGTCATTTTGACATGAAATGTTGAATATCTCCAGTTTAATTATAACTTTTCAATATTTTGCTCCTTATAGTTTTCCCATAACAGATTTACGAAATGCCCCGTTGGACCCCCTATATAATAAAGGAAGACGTATTTGTTAATTATGTTTTCCAATAAAATGATAAATAGATCATTTGAATTCGAAGCCGGAAAATAATTTTTAATTCGTAATTACTTAGTGCTTCGGGGTGTTAAAGACTCTATACTAAATCCAAGTGTATAGAAACTTTCCAATTTACCAACCAAGTTAAGCAGAACTGTAAGTAAACAGGAATAGAATAAGATTGATCATAAAAATTTGTAGAAAAAAAAAAGAGCAAAATATATTCCTATAAAACGTAAGCTTTTGGTCAATACAGTCACAGAGACTCGAACAAATTGCTTTGGCGGTAGATATATAAAATATATCAAGTGCACGGATCTATGCGTTCATATCTAACTCAAAGATTCGATTTGGAAATTTGTCGTGAGCTTATATTTTCCCCGGCTGAACTGGTATATTAGATTTATTTTGCTGAAAAGTGTGTTATTAAGTAGACGTGAAGATATAGAGAATGGAGCGAGTAATACGATTTTATATATATTTTGTGACGTCTACCGAATGTATTCAGGCCACTTTTATCCACAATATGGAAATTTTGTTTGTCGGGAATGAAATTACCAAGCCCGACATCAATAAATGATTGCTGACCGTGAAATTTACTCATGTATTTGAACAAAATTAGATGAAATAAACAGGTATATATTTTGTTTGTTTTTTGTTAGAAAATTTAATTGGAAATGTAAATAATTAACGATGTGGCGAAATATTCGACTTCACTCATCAAGATTCACATGACTGGAAACAAAGGATTCTTAAAATTCGATTTGATCTTGTAGGCATTTTTCCAAATTTCGAAAAGGCATATCGTTGAGTGAAATCTGTAAAAAATAGCTAACGGCATTGAAATGTGTGTAATGATTGTCCAAGCTGAGTCACCTAAAAGAAGTTCAGTGGTCGAAGTGAACGAGACTATTCGTTATTAATTACTTACCAAAAAAATTCAAGTGCGTGGGTCGGAATTCTGCCCTGTTCTTTTCCAAAGTATTTATGGTCCACATGGCAAGGTTGGCTATTATAAGAAAAGTAATGAGTTGTTTACCCGGCTTTTTCTTGGCTTGTTCAATGTTTCGGCAACGCCTCCACCAGCCGTCAAGAACAAACATGGTCTGTAATAAAAAGTTAAAAAGTAATTGGTGAAATTTCGCTTGTCGTTTTGCGATGTCGCAAAAATTTTTATATACCTGAAGGCCAGTTTGTACTAAAGAAAATATATCTGCAACCATGCCGACCGGTGAGGATCCGTTTATGGTAAAGTACCATCCTATTATTGAAAATATCGAGTAGATATACATTCCCGTTTGAGATACAGCTAAGAGAGTATTGTCTAGGCCAATGCCGGATACACCGGCTTCACCTACAACAATTTTTAAGAAGTTCCGAGTTAGAAGGAGAGTCCTATTGAATATCCTCACGTAATATTTGTTTTTCAATGATCTGTCAAATTAAGCCTCTGAATCAGAGGCAAATTCAAATTCAAAGATACTACTTTATCAAATCAAGAAGGACATCATTAAAAATGTGTATTTTGTTAATTATTTGATTATATTGAAGTGTTTTTTTTTATTCGATTCGTTATTAACTATGGTCCAAACGCAAGTATGATTCTTTCTTGGAATAATTAAAAAACACTGGCAAAGATAAATGCTTTTGCGAATGTAGTTGTCGAGGCTTACCAATTTTTCTATCATATTTTAAGTCCCTTAAACGATACATCGCGAATATGATTGCCACGGTGGTGATAATGTACAGAAACAGCTCGACCACATTGACTTCAAGCTCTGCGTAATTTGGTCTCTTGACATTTATCGTATTTTCTGCGGAAGCGGCAACGCCTTCAGGCTCAGACAACACAAAAAACATCACCAAAGAGATGATTGTTAAGACTATGACAGTTATTCCTAAAATAGAACGACAGGTCGAGGATAGAGCTTAAAGATTTGGAGAAAATATACACAGTACCTGCGAATAATCCTTTGTGTGAGTTGGAACAGTCGATTGTAAAATGATAACTGGTGCTTGTAGGGAAAGAAAAGATATCTGCAACAATAGCTTGTCACTTAACTACAACTGTCGTTTGCCAATTCTGACGGTCATGTCAGGGAATGTATTCGTGTTGTTTTGCGAAAAGTACCCAAAAACTAACGGTCGTAGAAAAATATTTAATAAATAACAATACGATTTTGTTGTAAACGGTTACAAATAAGAAGTATGAAGGATTTATATTTTGCAATTTTCGAAAAACAAAATATTGGAATACGTGTAAAATTTTGCACCGCCAACTTTCCCGAGAATTCGTAGAAATTTATTTACGACTGTGCGCGTTCCTCAAAAACGAATTATTTTATTTATTCTATGGATATACAGTAATGTGAATCAAATTTTTGAATTAGTATTACCAAATTTTATCACATTTTACGTAGGCATTTTGCAGTTTGTAAATTATGGCTTTCAATCACTATAGGGGTAAAGTTACAACAGAAATATATAGATATTCAATTTAATTTAGTACCTGAGCGATGTTTGTTTTCCCGCTTCTTTTGTTCAAAACCTTTAGCTGGTGTCTCGTGCTGTAAATGTTTCCACATTTCGAACAAGATAACGGCACAGATGAGGCTAAAATTTTAATGTCATTAAGAAAACATATTTGAATATTACTTCGAGGGATATTTTCTTTTATTAATTTTGTTTTGGCTAGGTTATTATTTTAAAAATCGTTTAAAACAATTTTCTCTTCAAACTCTTACTTTTTGGGTGTTCGGGTTAGTTAATGTTTTGTGGAAAAGGTTTAATAATAAAACTTCTTAAAAAAAATATAGAACTTTACCTATATTCTATGGTGCATGGAAATAAAAACGGACTAGCATCGGTAATCAGAGAACCAATCAGGCGTCCATTTAAACAGTACTTTTGGTTGGTTGTGTTGTTCGTATAGTTATCGTGATCTAAAATTGTGACAACTTGTTTGAATAATAATTTTATGGTTAACATTTATTTTTAAAGACGACTAAATATGGAACGTAATTGTTACAAAGATAACTCTTACCCTCCAGGTGATTTATTTCATGTTTAGTTTCTTCAACCAAAACGTACAGCCATTCACAGACATTTGTCGCGATCATATGCATTAGGCCGAATCTAGCTATGATTTTGTGTCTGTTTATATCAACATCCTGCAATGACGTTAATAGAACTTTTATATTGTTCCCATTTTCGGACAGCTTATATAATTTTGTATGCATATATGATTGTTATTAGCCTTTTCTTTCTGTTTTGACCCACTGCTTTTAGAAATTATTAGAAATTAAGTATTTTATGCAAAGACAAATTTTTACTACAAATCTGAGTTTTAGTTTTCCTCGAGTAACATGTTTTGATAGTCTTAACCTGACTCTTTTACACTTTTAATGTACTGGGAATTATACATGCAAACAAGTACCTTGTGGTTCAGAAATATGAATTGCACCTGCAAGAGGGTAAGCAACATTCTGGTGGCAGGTGTAATGGCCTGAAGAGGGCTTGATGGGCATTCCGAACTTTTTTGCAACTCAAAGTACCGTCCAAATTCCAGTCCGGAATATACCATGCTGCCTATTCCGAAAGCTGAAATTATAGAAACACCATTTATATGTTATACACAATCGGTTTAAGATTCTTTAATAGCAATAACTAACTAATATCGATATTTAAGTAGTTTTGCCTCTGCCCGCGTCGGTCAGATTTAAAGTAAATCCATTGGCTATTAACGGCGCTTAATTGGCGCCGAAATTGCAGTTCATGGATGCAGATGGCGAGCCGGATTTGTAATCAAAACAGTTGTTACTGCACAGCGTATAATTATGCGAAATATCGTAGAAACAGGTTAGGGAATTTTCACTACAATTTTGAAATTTGCCCCGCTTAATGTTGAATTGAAACTATAAATAGTTATGATAGTAAGATACAGGGAAACAGAGGGACTAAAAATAGAGAATATAGATCGAAGTTTTTTCATTCCTTCAACTTAGTTGTATGGAATTAGATGAGCACAACAAATGTTAACAAATGTTCTGGGCTGGTAGTGTCGTGAAGTGGACAAATTTCCTAATGACAAAGCAAATTCCTATCCTTTTACGTTTTCGCCATAGGGAACGATGACCAAAAATTCCGAGTCACATCGAAGCTGTTTAGAAATTTATACGTGAATTACAAAGACGCTTTCTTCAACAGAGCTCACCTGTTGCTCCCAACCTCAAATAAAAACTCCCATATTTTTGCACTCGTTTCACATCGTTAGCCTTTGATAAAAGTTCACCCTTTTCATTGTCGCCTAAAATATCACGTATCCATTAAATTGAAGGTAAAAACTCATTTTTTATAAACGTACGGTAGTTTTTAATAACTTCCTTAACTGCTCTTTCTCTGACGCAGCTTGCGTATTCGTAGATTATAAAAGTCATGCTTCCAAAGTAGAGGTATAGGTAGAACCCCTGGTAAAAAAATGGACCCACCCTACTGGAAATAACTTCACTTATCGGAAACGCTATGCCCAACACTACCAGGAACTTAGCATACAATATCGAGAGGATTACCGTCAGTCTATCACTAAAAGAAAAAGTTAATTCGGTGAATATCTTGAAAACTTACTTGTAGAACTACTCGCAAGTTGCCGTCTTAAAAAAAAACTATTTGCTTAGACTCACTTGCCAAGTTTCTTGTTTCGCCTCCACTCTTTTCTCTCTTCATTCTCCTCTTCCCTGGCGGACGAAGTACTTTCGTTAAACAAATCCATAAGGTACTTTTTTTGGTTCATAACTGCATGCGCTGCTGATAGCGCTATTGTCTAAAAAAAGTTGTTGTAGGTGTAATGTGTTCATACTAATATGTCTTAACCACATAATATTAGAATCGAATAGAATAAAATTTTATTAACCATTAACAAAACATTGATACAATAATGAAGTAGTAACTATAATATTAAAGACAAATCTAATAACCAGGTATGATCATATCAACCACACAGATCGGTGTATGTATGTAGAAAACAGAGTCATAATCCGTAAGCAGGTAACAATTGGTCTACAGTGCGCAAATCGGACAGTTTTGGTTAGTTTTGGTTAACCCCGCCCCAAGGCAGTGCAACAGCTTAAAGTAGGCTACTCCCACAGCCGATGGCGTTAGACAATAGCTAAGATGGCTCAGGTAGTTTTTGCGCAAACTTTGTCAACATGGCCTGGCCAGGATAAATCGATGACAAATACCAAAAGATTAATGTTACTTTGATTTAGAAATTGTTTGGAATATTTGCATTCTCCATTCGAAAATAAGGCATTTGTATTAGGTATCGAAGGATCTACAATATACTTTATGGAGTGCGTATTTCTGAAATTAAACCGAAGCAGTTAGTGGAACTTGAATTACTTGGGCTCATAATAATGTCGCCTTCAGAGACTGGACTCAAGTAAAACAGATTGAATTCATCGGGTGTGATTGATCTGGGTGAATAGACTCTATTTTCCAAAAAAAGGTTCCCAATTGACATCGTCAAAGGACGCACAGAGGTTGTTCAGTCCCGCCTGAGTAGTTCGTCTAATTCGAGTATGATTCTCATCCATGGTAGAAATATCTCAATAGAATTAGGTAAATATTGCTGAATGATCAGAGAGCGCTGGATCAACACCACCAGCAGTAAACAGAATGGAGGCTATGTTTGCAAGGAAATTATCAATGCAGTTCGACGTAGTTTTAGTCACACGGGTGTGATCAGTAACTGAAGGGAATAAACCAAAGGAGGCAAGTAGATTGAGAAACGCAGTTGTTAGAACGTCAGAGGACAAGTTAAATTTAAAATTAAAATCACCGGTAATAATAATGTTTCTTTTTCTTCTTGCGGATAACTTAATACCGCCAAATTCCGCTATCTAGAGAGTATTTGTTTAAATCTAAGATTTTGCATAGAATTTTACTTTCGCTGACCGCAGCCTGACGGCATCGAAAACTGCTCAATAGAAAGTTATTGACACATAAAAATTTTAAAACTTCCTCATCACAACCTCTTAAATAACCATTAAGCAAGTTAATTTTACTTGGAAACCCATATAAATTTGAACTCAGAATACTCCGGTTTTCAGTGGGCGAGATTGCAGAGTCTAGAAACTCCTCGGGCTCAGCATTCAACACCGTATAGGATGGCCCCTTTAAGAGGGACCTTTACCTTACCTCGAAACCTACGGGGGTTACAATATGAATATGGATCTGTGATGCACCGTAATGCTTTTCTTTAGGCTATGATCAAATTCAAAATATTTTCTTGCCACATTTCGCAAAATTACACTTTTTACAATTTTCTTAAATGGGACACCCTGTATATTATTGGATTTTCGAATAGCCACTTTAATAGCAATGCAAATTATACAAAAGGGTACTGGTTACGGACTTACCGGTTTGGCTTAATTGGTAGATAAAACTTAAAAGTGGGTATAAGATTTAAATTATTAAGATATGATACTCATCGACTTGTTCACAACCGTTTTAGCGCATTGTTAAGAAGCCATATTAAAAACAGAATATTAGACTTTTCACAATGTTGCCAAATTTCGCAAATTATTTATTTCTACGTTTAAAGTCTACGTGAAACCATTACAGAAAAACGATGCATATTACTTACAACGAAAATTAATTAAATTAGTTGTTCAATATGGCCGCCGTTTTGACGAGTACAAGTATGGTATATGGCATTTGAGACGTAATTTGTTTCATTCATATAGTGTATTGCCGTGCAAACCCGTTGCTGCACTTTCAAAACTGTTGACGGTTTATCTTTGTAAACCATATCTTTCAATGTGTCCAATCCACTCTCTGAAATTTTCGTTTAAAAAACCTCCATCTTGCTTAGAAATTAAAATTGGGTACTCTGGGTAAGTTTAAATTACATTAAAATTATATTAAATTAAACTAAATTTTGTTGGTCAAGTATGGGTCCTAAAATACTAGATGTCCAGATTACGCACCATACTTTAATGGATTTCCGCCCCTGCTCGTTTGCTTCAAAAACGCATTTTTGTATCTTTTGAACTCTAATAATGCGTATTTTTTCTATTGAGTGACACCGCAGACGTTGTAAATATTAATTCATCGGTCCAAATTATATTTTCAAATATGTTATCTAAAAAGTGCCCATCCATCATTATATTGCAAAATTGGATTCGAAAGGTAAAATACGCTTCTCGTAGTTTTTGTACTGGTGTAAATTTAAATGGCTTATACCTGTTAATTTTTAAACATGTTTGAAGTGTGGTTCGTCTTACGGCTACATCTGAAGAGCCAAAGCAGGTGGAGGTCTCTGGAGTAATTTAAAAATGCAGAAGATTATCTAGCTGTATATTTTCATCCAAAACCGTTCGGCTCCTACTTTTTTTCGCCCAAAACACTGCTATTTGTTCGAAACTGCTGGTATATTTTGACAATTTTTATTTCCTGGCAATCGCCTATGGGGAAATTTGGCTCAGTATTGTCTGGGAGTAAGAGCGATGGCGATGTAACATTCTAATAGGCCAACTTCTTGCACCCTCGTATACGTTATACAAAACAGACTTAACAAAAATGCAACTCAATAAAATAAATAGAAAATAGTGGAGGTCAAAAAAAAATACGCTTAAAATATTATAATACACTGATATCTGTCAAAAAATAAGTATTATTACCACAACGGAGAACTATTACTGTTTTCAAAGCTATGATTATGTCAAAAAGGTCAAAATTAATAAGTTTGTGTTTGTGTCTTTCAACAGGCAGGGTTCAATATATATTTTTAAAGACATGTGGTCCATATTATTAAGAATATTTTTTTTTCATTTAAGGGCAAGGACAAGATTCTTAAATTATGAATGTAAAAATGTATTATAGGAAAATAATTACCAATGAAACCAAAAAAAAGTGGCTATTCGAAACTCCAATTATATGTCTCATTTAAGAAAATTGAGAAAAGTATCATTTTGCGACATAGGGCAACACCGCGTATTTTAAGAGAGTATTTTAAATTTGATTATTGCCTAAATAAAAGTATTAAAAAGTTTTTAAGCAACCCAGCGATGATAGCTAATAAGTTCGAAACGGTGCATCAGAGACCCAGACTCATATATATAATTGCGAAAAATGCGATAAAATGTAGGGTGGTCTATTTAAAAAAATGTAATTGTGTTTTACCACCCTGTATATAAAAAAGTGACGATTAGCAAAATAAAACAAAATAAAGGTCATTTTAATAGAAACAACTTTATATAGGCCCCTGTACATTTGAATGACGCATAACATGTCCCAGGGTGTTCACGGAAGCTACGTTGATTATTTCGTCGTATTTATTTCTCACTGCATCCTCATGCAGTGCAGCGGTCACGGTCGAATCCATCAAATTCTTCTGTGGGGTGTAGTCTTCTTGACGTTACTTGACTTATCAAGTTTGGCTGAATTTTTTATTAACTATAGCGGGAACAATCAGGCCAACATTAGTTGCTGACTGTTTCTTTAGTATAGCCGATTGTTCTTGAAGAGACTTAATGATCTTCATTGATAACGAATTGTCTCACCGTTCTGGTTTTCTTTCAGATACGGGATTTCAGTAAGATGGTGGCTAGATATATGATGCAGGACGCAGTGGGCTTGCCACTATTGTGAGCATCATTCGTGGAAGAGTCTACCTTGGCAACTTGTAGGATTTTAAGATTTATGCGTTCGCACTCCACAGACAACGCATGTCAGACTAGTGTCCTCAACACTATCACAGCGTTTACAGGTTTTTATACCATTGCGACACAGTAGTTGCTGTCTATGTCTCTGTTGTCCAACACGAAAGAAAACGAATGCGAATCCGAACCTTCAAATAAAGTTCTACCAATCGCCGATGGAAACAACCTCAACTCACGGGGTGACAAAAAAATGATGGTTGGCTATTTACGATACACAGAACGCATTCGATATAACTGGCAATCGTAATAGTTCACATCACACTTGTAAAACTGATAAGACGACTTTCAATATTTATTTCGCACCAAAACTGGGATTTTGAAGAAAACTTGCGAGGTTACCTCTGAGAATATTGTAGGCAGCACACAGCAGCGATCTAGGATCAATATAACTTAACAAAGAAAAGTAAAATTGATATCTACGCTGCGTTTGGTTGAAAGAGACAAAACAATCTAAAACCATATTTCCCCAAGACTAATACAGAATGTAACAATTCTGTAGTCAAATTTGATAATATTACATTATTGAAAAAACGATTGAAAAAGTCTTTTATTCTTCTCATGTGCTGAAATAATATTGTTATACTGGGTTTGCGCAAGCCCGGACTGTCTGACGTTTCTTACATTATCGATAACATTTGACATTGGTGTTATTTGTCAACGCGCATAGTTATATTGGCCAGTGCTCTCTCAGATTAACTCGCATTTAATTTTAATCCTAGAATTGCGACGAAGTATGCCGTTATTTAGTTAGTTGTCACCTGTGAAGGTCTCCTAAGAGCTGCAATAATTGCCGATGGTCGTCTCGATGAGAGGGCACTAGAATCTCGTCTTTCTGAATCGCAACATCTATGTACGCATTCGTTAGCGTGTAATGTGATGTGGGGCGTCTGAAGAATATTGTGATCTCTGTCGGCTGGCACCGACAACAACTTCTTCGCAACGACTCTGTAAAATGTGACGTTAGTTTTTCATACAGACGTCTGTATAACTATATTTGGAAAAACTGCTAAACTGATAAGACGGCTTTTTATTTCTCGCTAGTTTCAGTTGATATGATCTTTTCTTTAAGAAAAAAAAATCAATAATTTATTTATACAGAACTTTGCATATATTACGAGCTTGGGGCGAGCTATCTCATCACACCCCATGTGTTAGGACGTTAAATTAATTTTTTCTTGGTATCAACTCGAACCAAATATTGTCAGGTCGCATTTGTAATGTTTGCAAACACATTGGTTTGTGAGCCATGTAATATGATTTATTTATGTAATAGAATAGTAATAAAAATGTTTGTAATCGTACAATATTTCGTACCTACGTAATTATGCCGAGCAAACTCAATTTGGAGCTTGCGTTTTCGTTCTCATTGTCGTTGTGTTGACATTCTGCCACACTTCTTGTATTTCTTAATTTTTCTGCGAATTTTTTTCTTACCACAAAATAATTAACTTAATTAACTGACCTCTTGACGCCTACCTGATCATTAACTAGGTCGATACTGGAATTCAGCAGGTTATTTTTAGGTTGCAGATTTTGAGTTCCAAACAACTCGACGTTATGAATTCGATATCGATGTTTATTAGCAGTAATGTTCAGTAGGACTGTCAATTCTCCTCGGTTTGCCAAAGAAATTACCGTTATTTTGATTTTATTTACTTTTATTCGAATATCCGCGCTCAAACAAACGTTGTCACATTTTGGGAAATTGTTTTTTACGTAAATATAAAGAGACTTACAAATTTATTAGACTGTGTAAAATAATATGTTTTGTTGTCTCACGGATAAGAATTGATTAAACAAAAACTACATGAAGTAGGATATTTAGCAACTAAAACAAGTTTTCATAAACCAATCTCATGCTGTTTTCGCATTATAAGTAAGCAGTTTCGGTACTGCTGTCTGGTTGACATACGCTCAACTCACAAGTTTTTATAAAAATCATATTAATATAAATAGTATTCCCTATAAAAAAATACTGCTAATGATAATATATAAATACGATTATAAAGTAAAATAATGTTTACTTAAATGCACCCTACTGTCGATAATAAAAAATCAATTCGATTGAACGTACTTTTGAGGTTACAGTTCTGAGTTTTACAATTCGAGTATTTAATTAGACTTTGAAACAAAATTTTACTCACCTGGTATTTTCGCTTTCGTCATCGGATGCGTCACGAATGTCATTTGCAGTAAAACCAACCTTCCGCAGTTCTCTGCAACTTAATTATAAAATTTCATCCAAGGAAAAAATCTCCAAATTAGATAACATAAAACGATTTCGGGAATTTATATTTCCTAAGATTTTGAATACATAAATTATTCTTTACTATATTGAAACCTTTGTTGCATATATTTACAGACTGATGCTAACAATTTTGGGAAAAATTAATTTCAACATTCTTGTAAATGAATGAGATATTTTTTAACTCGAAATGACGTCATTTTATTCTTTGTTTACCGGTTTGCGATTTATTCAATTTGAAACTTATGAATTTGACAGTTTGAACGTTTTCCACTCCTGCTTAGTTCGGGGATTTAAGAGACGGAAACTTCAATCCAATAACCTCCGACCCGCTCCAAATTAGCATAACAACCCCCACTTACCTATTTTCTTCGTGCAGAATGTCCATTAAGCGCCTTAATTATCTCACCGAATCCCTAGATGGCACTACGTTGCTTCTTTATTAAAACTTTAAAAAGTCGCTTACTTTTTTGCGCTATTTCGTTTTTCTAGCGCTGTTCGACCTGAAAGTTAATCGCGCGAAGTTTGAATTGGCCCTTTACGAAGCAAATTAATGAAGGTTTTTTTTATAAGCTAAATTACTGAACGACCCAAGCACACTATTTTAATTCGTACAAAAACATAAAGAGTGATTGATGTATTAAAATTAATATCTAATTCTACGAAAATAAGGAAAACTGTATTATAGAAAAAGGTAAACTTGGTTTGCTATCACGGCCAGGAACCTTTTCAAAAGAAAACCTTTTTTTTATTTTAAACTTTGTTCTTAATTTGTTGCAAACTCTGCTCTAAACATTTCACTAACTCGGAATGGAGTTAGTCGTAGTTAGTGTTTGTCATTTGTGGAATGACGTATTTCTACTTTTATATTAATCGAATACATAAAATCACCGTTAGATCATTATAATATTATGCTGAGCATAAATAAGAAATAAAATATCGGACAATGGTACACTATGCAACAAATGTTCGAAACGTCATTTGAGTTACGAGTTTGTTTGGCACTAGCGCAGCTGTCTGACCGTTTGACCGTTGAATATCATGAAGGATAGAAAAGCAACACTGTAGCTAAAAATTGCATCGACACCTCGAAAGAGAACAACCAATAAACAAAGAAGCGGATAATCGGAGGAGAAAATTTGCAAAGCAGATCCTCTAAGAATGCTTCAAGCAGCGTTGCAAACATTTTAACATTTGTTTAACAACTGCTATCAACAAAGAAAAGTTTTTCTTTTAATATTTGTAATATTCTTCGTTAAATAAGTAGTTAAAAAATGTTTTTTTCTGTTCTATAAAAGTAAAGTAAAAGTAAAATATTAAGTAACTGAAACAAACAAATATATTAAAAATTGTTTTCCATATTTTCCATTAGTAATTGTTTTGCACCATCTAATATTTGAAAGTTCAAAGTATATTGTCTTTCGGATTAACTTCTAAGTAAAATTCGTAAGAAAGTTCAGGGCGTAAAAACCACTTACCAAACTTCGGATGCGGCAGACGGAAAACCGAAACAGAAGAAGAAAACGGCAAAATATAACTCCGTTTTTATGCACTTTTACTCCCCAATTTGCATAAACATGTCGCAGCAATAAAATTGTTCTTCCGCGGAATTAAATCTCCACCAAATACGGAGCCTAGGAGGTTCAGGGAAAGTTTCAGGTCGTTAAGATAAAATTTTAATTTTTAGTTTAGCTGAATTAAAATTTCGCGTGGCACTGATATCGGAAAATATTTGCAAGATTTATATTTACCTTTTTAATGTCGTTCTTTTTTCTTTTGCGATTTAACGTTTCAATTAGAACCCGGGATCTAAATATGTTGTCACTTTAAGGACAAAGCTGACTCGATCTTCGAGACGCGTCATATAAAACGCGTTTTTATTTTATACAGGATGTGTGAAAATCGGTGAAACATTAACAATAAATAGATTAAGTAAACAACACAACACAATAAATAATACTATGATGACACTATGACTAGGCATAGATAATGTGAAAAGAAAGGATATGAATAAAGGAATTGTAAATTATTGACAATAGTGAAACAAACGGGCCTTCAACCTATGTTTTATTGAAATTCGAGATAACACCTACGAAATATTATCGTTTAAAGAGTTCCTTTTGATGTCTAGGGAAAGTTTAGGGATGTTTTTAAATCTAATATTACGTTTATGAGACTTTATGAGAGTCGACCAGTTTTGAGGCTTTTGTATACGTCTATTATTAGACTTGGAACTTTCGTAGCAGTAATTTAGTGGCGGCAAAACAGGAAATTCACATAGTATTTTTTGTGCCCTGATTTAGATATCCAAATCGAGTCAGCAGTTCGCGAGAAAATTAACTTTGGAAAAGGAACTTCCGATAACAATTTTTAATGAAAACACATTACTACTACATTTTTTAAAACCCGTACATTTGAGGAAGTGCAATTTTTTAATGGGCAACAGCAACTTTGATAGACGCCATTCTAGTCAGTTTTAGTAGCACAACGTTTTACATAATGTTCTGTTTTTGCAAAACAACAGTGGGGATAAACCTCAAAATAGCATTTATTGAAAATATTTACTATCAAAGGCCACAATTTTAACTTGAACTGATATTTTTTATCGGCATATAGGTCGAACTTCCAGTGTAACAAAGATATCCCGAGACTATTAGACTTAAATAGAGGGATGAGGAATGATACGCTGTGTCAAATATTTGAATTAATGAATAAACTCCTGCTCTTAAAATCCATGTAGAAAGAAAGTATCTAATAGAAAAACTATATCTCAACTCAATTATTTTTTTTTAATGAAACGATTAAAATTAAAGTTGGCAATTTTTCAGCCATAATATTGAAAAGAAATTGTGTTACATATTTAAAGTTTGCAAATGAAAACCAGTAAAGGAAATGCTTAATTTGGTACGAATTGGATTCGGGGGTGTCCTCGAGGGTATCGAGGAGGCCTCGGGGGTTTCGACGCGCTCCATCCAATTCCCATCGTAAATTGTTCATAAACGCAAACTCATATCCGGAGGGGATGTTGTCGAATTTACTAAACCGGGGGTGGAGTACGATTCGAAGTTGCCGAAATGACAAATTGGGAAGTTGTTTTTTTTATTTTAGAAGATTTGAATGCCTAGGTGTTGTTTATTTTACGGTAGACAGAATAAAAACTAATAACTGTACTTGCGTATTGCCCGCTTGGGAGGTAGCTTTCATATACTCGTGGGCAGAGTAGGTGTATCATTTTCGAAAATTTCTATCTATCTGGGGAATTGAAATATCCCTATTTTCTTTAAATATTTCTGCCACAATGCACAAAATTAAAGTACAAAAACAGAATCTAAATTTGTTTTTCAGTTACGGTTAATAATTTATTTTCGAAATGGACACTTATTGATTATTGATATCTGGAGAACCCTGTGCAATGAAAGAGAAAGGTAATTACAAAAATTGAATCCTCCAATAACTCCTATAAAGGCGCCAAACCAAACTATTCACTTACTTATGAAATAAGAAATATTTAGGATTTTTCATATTTAATTGGCGATAAGCAACACACCTTATACTTTTTTGAGAAAATCTTCAAGAGATACATTTGTTTCCAGATCTCCTTCTATAGTCGGTACGATTATTTTACCTGCTTCCAGTCGCATACTAAAAATGGCAAAACCAACCCATTTACCTGCGAGTGTTCAACCTTTGTCTATTACGCCCCGGTGTCTAACGATCGACAGAGATAGCCCCAATTACCGGATAATTACAGCTGTTTCGACTACAAAAAAACAGCATCGCATTTTTGAAGTCCGTCTTTAGTTATTAGGAGAGTGTGGCAAAATCATCGACAAGAAAAGAAGAAATTATCACTTGGCCGAGCGGTAAACGGATTTATTACCCAGAAAATGGTCTAAAATGTGAGTTGTTAATAATTGTCAGAAATTACGAAACAAAGTTGCCGCATGCGACAGATAAAATAATTGCTGAAATCCGTTATCAAGTTTTAAGATTGTCTAATTATCATTGAATTGGTGAGGGTTCAGTGCAAAATATTTTTTAATTGAAATATTCTAAGTGAGGCAAGGAACGATCAGGGAGAAACAACATCTGCTAAAGTATGAGTGGAAGCAATCTATTTTATTCTGTCTGGCATTTTATTGCCGACTACGCCATCACAAAAATATTCTAAGTGAGGCAAGGAACGATGATACAGCGGTAGTATCAATTAGCAAAGAAATTCAGTTCTAACTAGAGTTAGTTCGTCCAATGTTGCAAAGTAAGATAAACGTTAGGGAGTTGGAATAAGCTCACCCTGACATGGAGAGATGCATGGGTACTGTTGCTTGAATTGGAAGCGAGGAGCGGAACTGAATAATTATCGACTAGATTTCAGCTTGAAGGAAGGTGCATCAAAAAACTTAACAGTTTAGAAAATGACGGGGTTTATACTGAACTTATAAATAGGCTTTTATTTATTAATTATTAGGAGAATATTTAATTCGGTGATTGTAGACCATTGTAGCTATATAAAAGCGGTTCGCGAAAATTTTCATACAAAATTGGTCAGGTAAAGTCTGTTCATAAATATAAGAAAGTGACTAACTGATACGAATTAAGGAAAGATCCGGGCAAGCTGTAAGAATGAAATATGGCCGAACAGGTCCGTACTTTGCTTAGAATTTAATTATTTGGGGTTTTGTTAGGAAAGATACTAAACAATATTTATTTATTTATGTATGTATTTATGTTTAAATCTAAAATAAAATTACAAATTATTTTTATTACCTACTTAAATTACTTAAAATTATTCACATAATACATCAGTATCGCTATCGCTATCATCGCCTGTTCGAATTATTATTTGTTCTATATTATTTGCATTATGGATATACGATCGTTCTGCTTTTTCTATATGTTTAACAGAATTTGCCCAACTTTGTGGAGGGATGTTAAAAACTTCGGTTTCTATAACTTTGAGGACATTGAAGTTAACACGGGGAAAACATTGTTACGACGAATGGCAGATTTCAGTTAGTGCCAAACATGTTCAATTGGATTAAATATACAGTGGTAAGGTGGAAGCCTTAAAACTGTATGCCCTAGATTTTTTGCATAATTATCACAGACGTAGGTTCAACCTTTGTAGAACCTCAATTAATAGCTTTTGGTATAATCTTCGTGAAAATAAATGTCGTTATTTATACATGTAGTTTGGGATTGTTGCTTTTGTGAGCATCTCCTGAGATATACTAGACTCGCACATATTTTGCATAATTCGCACACGATTCAACACCCGCTGTATTACACACGAAATAAGAATGATCACTAATAAACTTAAACTAAATAGTATACCAAACCAAAGAACATTAAACACAGGTAGGTATAAAATTATTTTCTATTAAGGACCACAATTTTACCTGAATTTAAATTCCGAAACTTTAGGTAATAATCTCGTTGGATTGTATGTTAATGACCACCCTTGGATAATCCCATTCAAAAGCAATTGGTCACTTTCTTATATCTATGAACAGACCATACAACTAGACTATAATGAACTGTTCAAACAGAAAAATAATTTGTTTGTTGGTTATAAAGTTGTGTATGATTTATTGAGAACAAAAACTTGACACGCAAACTTTTTCTTTTTTAATATGATTCAGTCCATTAGTAAGAGTTTGATTTCCTGAGAACGTTCACTCGTGGTGCAGGTGGAAAAGCATTTTCTTAGTCAGAACAAGTCATAAACGAGGTCAGACTCCAAATAATTAGTGTAAACAACAAGATGAACATTTGTTTAGGTTCTTCAAATCACCGCTTAGCTTTTTTCCTGTTGATTTCGACTTATTAATCTTTGATTGTTTTTAATTTAGAAGAAAAGCGTTTCGTGAATTGAGCAAATAATTTTTCGAGTTAAATCCAATCCGATTCGCGTTCTTTAAACCATTTAAAACCAAGCCGGTACTCGATTAGGTAAAAATAAACCTTCCCGACAAATTCAGGCGGCCCGATAACGTTTTTCATCGAAAAAGCGCGGTCCTAATTGCACGGCCACATTGACCGGAAAATTCATTTGCTTCGCACAATAAATTTTTATCGTCCTGCGAACGCGTTATGACATTGGAAAAAAATTAACTGCAATTAGCGGACGAATTATTGCTTGGATTAATTGGATTTTCATAGATATTACGGGATTCACGGCTTCAGATTAAATCATCCTATTGGTAGACTGGAAACGTAGGTGTGTTTAATTAAAATTTTATCCCCTTCGAAGTTTTCAGCGGTGTTGGCATTCGATTAAATAATTAAAATAGTATTTGGGGGGCAGATTGCCTGCTGCTAGCTAGAGATGTATTGGACACTAGGTTTTGGTGAATATATGACTATGTCGCGTTCAACAATATTTGATTTGACTTCATGGAAGCCTTTGGATACGATTTATCCAAAAGGTACCCTTAAAATTCGGGTTAAGAGTGTGTGACCATATTTCATATACATTTCAGTATCTCAATTAGCTGAAAATGGACGCAAACATCATTTTTTTTGTATAGTATCAAACTCTTAGAACGGCTGCTATAGTGTGCAACTTCTAGTTAATAAAAATAAACGAATTAAGAAATTTTGAATAGGGAGGAGAACATTTAAGATTGTTTTTGCTTAAGGTGCCGGGGGTGCTGTCTTCAAACTTATCAAACATTGCGTGATTTTTCTTTTTTTTTGTAT